GACGTTGGCTATTAACAAGGCTATTTTGACTTTGTTTACGGCACCTCTGAACAGTTCGGTCGATGTTAGTCCGAACCATTGTCGCAGGTTATGCATCCATGAGTGTCGTCTTCTTCCCGGTCTATACCAATATATAAGTATATACCAATTTCTTGAATTATTTTTGTGTAGCTGTAGCACGTGTATACATATTACAACATGTATACAATGCATGTGAAAGGTACGAGGACTGCAAATGAATCTCAAAAAAACGAAATCAATGATATTCTCAAATAAACTACAAAATGTAGATAACCTGATCATCAATAATACAACGATCGAAAGAGTAACAACATATAAATATTTAGGAACGTGGCTAACCAAAGATGGAAATCAAACACAAGAAATCAGATCTACAATAGAAATGGCAAGAAACACGTTCATAAAATTGAAGAACTGACTTTGCAACGGTAACCTTAATCTAGAGATTAGAGACAAGAATGCTACGTTGTTACGTTTTTTCTACTTTACTATACGGCATGGAAGCGTGGACAATAAAACAGCCTGAAATCAAAAAATTTAACTCCTTTGAGATGTGGTGCTACAGGAGAATTCACAGAATATCGTGGACTGAAAAAGTAACTAATATAGAGGTGTTACAAAGAATGAAGAAAGAATGTGAAGTACAAACTGTAGCACAGTTGGATGTATTTAGAGAAGAAGCTATGTTTTCCCTTCAGACTCTTTATTGAGATAATCTTTTGAGCTAGAAAAAAATTTTATAAAAACCAAAATAAATGCTGGTTACACTGCTTCTTTTCCTTTTGATCAGCACACATTACTTTGTTACTTTTTTTCACATATTTAATCCACAGTAGCATTTACTTTGAAACAATGACGTAAAACAATTTCGAAAGGAATGACCTAAAAACTCAAACTATTGATGGTAATTTAGAACTTGACTATAGCATATTCCACGTTCCTCTAAAAAAATTTCCTAAATAGATTAGATCGTTTAGTAATGACTTATTAATGATAATATATGTATATGATACTTTCAACTCTTCGATATGATAAGATAAATATTTGTCCGTAAATTTTAGTTCTTTTGTAAAGATATTTAATCATTCATGATTAATTTTGCGGTTCATATTTAGAAAGTTGTGTAGGTATGTCTGTTTATTATAAATAAACTTGACCATGACGCACTTGTTAAGACAATAGAGTTACACACAATCACAATAACTGAAAATTATGTAAATGAATAATTTATAAATTTGTTTACTTCCAAATAATTCCCTAAACAAAACACAAATTTTAACCATCTTAAACATTCGACTTGTTTGTGTTACTTTGAGTTTTAAATGTTGTTCCTTGGGTCACTATTTTATATGTTATATATTTTGCAATAAACAGTTTCTTTAGTCTAACTTTGACTCCATATATTATGATGTTCGCTGCAAAGGTGGTAAATAGGCTTTTTGTATTTTGTTTTCTATTTTGTTCCAAGGCAGTCTGACCATTTTTTTTGTAACCACCTGGTCTCTTTTCATCTTGTGTAAAAATTGATCTCTTTGCTATTTTGTAAAATGTTTTTCCAAGTATGTAGGTTTATTTTTTCTTTGTTTGTGACCTACGATTCCTATGTTTTAGTCTTAGAGTCATGCTATCATGCTATGTAGATTGCCAGAGTCATATTAGAAACGAGGCAAACCAGAACTATCGTTGCAGCTTTATTTGTCTAACGTTTTATTTCGCTTATTGGGTCATAACTGCATAGATATGCCTTTCCAAATATTCTTAAGTCTAGTAATACTTAATGAAGGTTTATTACACTCTTCGAATGGTCCATTTTGTCATAATCTTTTTTTACAAAATTTTAGGAAATCGTCCAAATACAAAAAGTAATTGCCTTGAGTGTAAAAATGGAACCTACACCCTGCTCGCACATATTTCCCACGGTTTGAGGACAACACTGAGTAAAATTGTGCAAGACATTGATTTGCAGTTTAATCAACTCATGGCATCCAAGATTTTTTAACTTGCTTTGTAAGATTAGCTATGATAAGTTCGTCGTTAAAGCGTTCTTCTTCGTTTTTGTGTTGATAATACAATTTTTTTTTTGGTTGGCAGCTTAATGAACCAATTCCTCGACCGTTCGACCTGTCCATTGTCTAATTTTACGCAGCCAGGACCAGGACAGCTGTTTTCTTCCGGCCCAGCGTTTTTCTGAATGATCAAGAGGAGTAAGCGATATTTCGGTCCTCTCATGATATGGCCGAAGTATTGGACCTTTCTCATTTTGATGATGTTGATCAATTCTCGCTCTTTGTGCATGGTCTCTAGCACAAGTTCGTTAGATATGTGTGCTATTCACGGGATTCTGAGCATGCGAAGGTAACACCACAACTCGAACGCTTCTAATTTATTAAGATTTATTTTTGTTATCCAGGTTTCACATCCATAAAACAAAGCGGACCAGACGTAGTACATCAATACTCTTAGACGCGTGGTCAATGGCAGACTTTTAGTGCACAATATAGAACGCCAGTTAATATTCGTTCAAGTTCTATTCTTTTCGAAATTTCCTCGCCACTTTCAACCCTGCGATAAATCCAGCAGTACCAATCAGTGTGTCCACTGAAAAATTTATCGCTTTACACTTTCATTTAAACATTCTATTTTCGCTTGTAAGCTGAAATCTTAACGTCATTTTACAAATTTTAGACCTAACTGAAACCCCTTCTTTGATATAAATGTAATAAGGTAGTAAACCTTTACACAAATATTTATCATCTTTGGTCAAGGCTTTTACAAATTGTTTTACGAAGTCCATGTACATATAAAAGAGAGTACATCAATACATCACTAGGAATAAACTAGCCACAACAAAAAGGACAATGGAAAGAGCAGTGGTAGGTATACCACTGTCAGATAAAAAGAGGAACGACTTGGTAAGATCAAAAACAAATGTCGAGAATATCACAACAAAAATTATCCAACTCAAATAGAGGTTCGCAGGCACACTGATAGACAAAAAACCAACACTGGAACGCCACAATACAACATTGAAGACCTTACAAAGGTGAAGACCAAGAGATGAGAGGAAAACCACAGATGAGATGGGTAGACGACATAAAAAGAATAGCCGGAACAAATTGGGTATGTTGCTCAGGATAAAGATCGATGGAAGAAGTTGGAAGAGGCCTATGTCCACAAATGGACGATAGGATGATAGGAAAAGGTTAAGAAGAAGAATAAGAAAATCAATACACCATCACTATCTAGTCCCAATCTTCCACTACTGATTATAGATTTCCTGCCCATACTTCCAACCCTATTTATCATATGCGGGTCTTATCCGGTTTTTATTAAGTTTGTTAAGTAATTCTTTTACTCTTCTCTAGCAACCTCTTGTACCATCGATTTTCCTTCTTTCTCGCTATGTGTCAGGTCCACTTCCATTTTTGTCTCATAATCTTCTGTATGACGTCGCACACCTTAGTTATTTTTTTTTATTTTTGAGTTCATTTGTCTAAAATTATTACAAGTATGGAACGTTCCATTTTTCTTGGTTTGGTTTTTTTCGATTTAATAGCTGAAGACTTTGTTAGGATCAAACATCCTTCTTTTCCGACGTCTGTTTTCATATGCAGTCCATTCTACTATTCGATAGTTATTTCGTGTGTTAGCGTGCGCTCTCCCTCTCTCTCTTTCTCTCCCTCTATCTCTCCCTATCTCAACTCTCTCTCTCTCTCCCTCTCTCTCTCTCTCTCCCAACCCTCTCTCTCTCCCTCTCAGTCCTCTCTATCTCTCTCCGCTCTTTCTTAAAAAAAAAATAATTTTCTTTATTTTCCAGTCTAGATTTTTCGCTATATCCTAAATCACGTGGAATAGTTCATTTATATTCTATAAATACTGTTGTTAGAGAATAAAAAACTAGTTTAGGTTGACTAGAACAAAAACTAGAACACCGGCATAAACGCCCAAATTACAATTAACGATACACCATTAGAAAAAGTTGAAAAAATATGCTATTTGGGCTGGAATATTAAAGATGCTTGGGATCACAGCTACGAAATAAAAATTCGTATATAAAAAGCCAACTCTTTCAACAGCCTTATTAAAATTCTCTGCCACTTATCTTTGTATTAATATACGCATAAGAATTCTTAGATGTTCTTTAGTGTCCTCGTCTATGGAGTAGAAAGCTGGAGAGCCTTACAGAAGATGCCATAAAACGATTGAAGGCATTTGAAATGTGGTGCTACCGACGTATGTTCAGGGTCTCATATATACACTATACAAATAACGATAACTATTCTCGAGAGGCTAAGAAGAGATAAAGAAATTATTAACACCATAAAAAATTGGGTTACTTCTGCCACATCATGCGTAATGATAAATATCGACTTCTACAGTTGATTCTACAGGGCAAGATTGAGGGTAAGAGAGGTCCTGGACGTAGACGTATATCCTGGCTGGCCAATCTCTCCAAGCCAACATCTCTAGAAGATAGGCACATTTAGAAGAACAAAAAAAGTGTAGCTTTCTAGTTCCTATGCCTTCCAACTATAACTTGTTGCTACTTTCTTACCCATATTTTTGGACTCTCCTCCAAAGACAGAAGAATTAGGCAAGATTATTTAGAAATGTATTTATTATCTTTGTACATTTCGCCTGGTCTAAATCCACTGTGTTTCACAATTTTTTTCTCCTGGTTTCTCAAATTCTTCTCATATTCTATTCTATAGCCCTTGTAATCTATGAGCCCTGGCCTGCATCAAAACATTTTTTCATCCTTTCCTGTCGAGTGTCTGTTTTCTCTATCTCCTTACTCCAATCTTCCTTAAATAATGTTTATTTTGATGGTTTTCACAAAAAAAATATATGAAAAATATACGATATTGAAATTTTTGAATATTTTGTGTCATCTTAAGACAAAATGGTTTGATGTTGAAGTAAATGAATGTTGTTTTATTATGTACGGGGTGTTATTATATTATACAATTTTATTTTAGTACACATACGAAGATGCCATGGACCTCATTGCAAAACTCCCCGTTGTAGCAGCCACCATCTACAGAAATTCATTCAGGGACGGTTCCGGAATTGGCGCCATCGACACCTCCAAAGATTGGAGTTATAACTTCACAACTATGTTAGGATATGATGATCCTAAATTCATTGAATTAATGAGATTGTACCTGACCATCCACAGTGACCACGAAGGTGGCAATGTTTCTGCTCATACTGTGCACTTGGTGGGCTCAGCCCTCAGCGATCCCTACCTCTCATTCGCTGCTGGTATGAATGGATTAGCTGGGCCACTCCACGGATTGGCCAACCAAGAGGTAAGTCAATACAAAATATCTATCTAGAATAGAAGACAGCTACAGTTCGCGTCTCAAATACGAGGCATTCATTGTTTCATTCTGAAACAAAGCGTATTGGTTAAATTAAATCCACAGAACTCTTTACTACGTCCTTGTGGCTTCCTGAATCAAATATTGTTCCTTTCAACTAAAGTATAACATAAACTTTTACCCACTTTTCTATCAAGTAAGATATGCTAGTAGGTGTACAAAACCAATGGATAAACATCTCACAACACAGTTTATTAGATTTTAATTCATTTGTAACAAAATTATCCTTCATATTTGACTCAAACATACTGGTCTTTATTGTGGTAAACAAGTACCTGGTATACCCATGGGAAACGAAATATCACCATTCCTATGGTATTTTGTACTAGATGACTTAATTGAAAGCTCTATTAGCCAATAACCGTTTAATGTCCCATTTTTAATGAGATATATGGATGATTTAATTCTTGCAGTTCCAAAAGACAATATCATTGACACACTACAAATCTCTAACAGTCACTGCCCTGACTTGTAATTTATAGTAGAATTAGAAAACAACAACTGCAGAAATTTGTCGGGAAGATTAACATGACACCAGAGTGACATTAATCTGAACAAAGTACAAACCTGTGTTACAATGCTCTGTACAATAAAGTAATAACAGTATTACTTTATTGAAGTTTTCCTGATGATGAAAATAAACATTTTTGAAAGCTTGAAGATTTAGTTACAAGAGTTACACTAATTTCTACCGCAATCCCAATAAACCTCGAAACTCCGCTTTCTGACTTTGTCAGCAAAGACTTCTTTTCTTTATTAGATATATATATATATATATATATATATATATATATATATATATATATATATATATATATATAATATATATATATATATATATGATTTCAGTTGTTTTCCGGGTTTGACTCCGCGTTAAGTAATTTTGGTTTTTAGAAAAACCCTCCTGAAGTTCCTGAGTTCTCCTGAAACATCAAGACGAAGCAGAACTAATCTGACTTGACAATGGCAAGTGTGACCTTGCCGAAACGTCGTCAAAACAATGGTTTTTCTAAAAACCAAAATTACTTAACGCGGAGTCAAACCCGGAAAACAACTGAAATCACTTATAGCTCCCGCGGAAGTTTCAAATCCAATATATATATATATATATATAATATATATATATATATATATTATATATATATATATATACAGTATTGTACGAATAATTGGAATCATAGGCTGTTTTAATGAAAAAACAGTTTATTTAGTAAAAAATTATATTTTGACAAAACTATAAAGGTAAACTTACATCATTCAGTAGGAAATATGTCCCCCTTTGGCAGCAATTACTGCTTTTACCCGTTTTGGCATAGATTCTATGAGTTTCTGGCAGTTGTCAGATATCCTTTCATCTCGATACCAAACCTGAATGGCCGCTTCTATCATTTTTGTTTTAGTGGTACAGTCGATTTTTCGCAGTCTAGCTTTGCAAATGGCCCATAAATTTTAAATGAGGTTGAGGTCGGACGAATTGCCGGGCCAATCTAAAACATTAATCTTCTTATTTTTCAAAATTCATTTTCTTTGATTTGTGACAGGAAGCAGAGTCCTGTTGAACAATCGCTCCTCCTTGGGCTTGACATTTTCGGAGTTGTTTGTCCAAATACTTTTCCAACATGGATTTGTCTTTTTGGCTGTTCATCATGCCTTCAATTGGCACCAAAGATCCAACCCCCATGTATGAAAAACATCCCCAAAACATTTTCTTGACTGGATGTTTTACGGTTTGATCAATATGAGATGGTGTAAGCTTTTCATTGTCAGACTTCCTGACGAATTTAGACCGCTGTTCCTGAACTATAAAGTGGGTTTCATCTGTAAATAGGACTTTTTTCCAGTCGCCTACAGTCCAATTAGAGTATTTTTTGGCCCACAGTAGCCTTTGTTTCTTCATTCGTTCAGTAAGAAGCTGTTTTTTCTGTGGACGAATTGCCCTTCTACCATTCTCCAAAAGTCTTCTACGAACAGTTGAGTCATGAATCACTATAGCTGATGCTGCTAGATCTTGTTGTAGGTCTTGGCTTGATTTTCTTGGGTCCAATTTGCTCTTTCGAAGTAAAAATCTATCATCTGCTGGTGTTGTTTTTCTCTTTCTTCCTAACATTTTGCTAACCTTTTCACATCCACTGATCCCGTTTCTCGTTTACGCTTCAAAATTTTGCTTACTACCCCCTGACTCACTCCTTACGTTCTAGCAATCTCTCTTTGTGACATACTAGTGTGTTCACTCAACGTGACAATCTTTTCACGCTTCCTAGGCGTAATATCCATGTTGGAATAAATCCAAAAACAACACAAAATATTACAAAAACCCCCAAAACAACACAAGCTTGGTAAGAAATTACCTAAAACACACTCAAACACACCAACACACAGTAAGGTTATGTTTTCAATGCTTGGTCAGCTGTCAACTGTGTAGGTAGTGTTGCCAACTGTGAATATTGAAAAAATGAAAAAAAATTCACAGTGATTCCATTAATTCGCACAATACTGTATATATATATATATATATATATATATATATATATATATATATAATATATATATATATATATATATATATATATATATATATATATATATATATATAGTGTAGGTAAAATTTTAAGGTCGGTATGGTAAAATTTAACAGGATATCTAACGCAGATATAAAATCATATTTTCAACGAATTAGACAAAGATAACAATCATATTTCCCCTTCGTCTCCCCTCCTTAATTTCTATTTAACACTCATTGGCCACTGCCCATTAGTGAGACGATTAGTTCCGATCAGATATTCTCTGGTTCCGATCCTAATATACCTAAAAAACTAGAGGTGGGTCTTCTCGTTTTTTTAATTTTTATCGGAACCGTTTTTCGTAAACTGTAACTAGTTGATTGTTTACCAGTATTCAAATTAGCGAGTACACAAACATATTAGCTATTATCGTTTATGTGTATAAGTATTGAAATAAAAGAACCTAACGAAGGAAATATTTATTGTAACTTGAAAAATAAATTAAATAATACAAATGGTACTTAAATAGTTACATTTACATTACACATTATTAAATCGCGAATCGTCTAAATTGACATTTAAAAACATAAGTTTTTCCACTTTTCTTGTTAATCGCGTTCTTCTTTTATTTAAAATTATACCAGATGTTAAACATGTGTTCACAAGGAAAAGATTTTGTTACAATACTACAACATTTTATGAATATAGTGGTTAAGTTACGATATACATGGCGATGGTTTTTTCACCACGGTAATGGACAGTTCCAATCTCCGTTCGAAATTGTTTGTGGGTAATATATCATCAGACAATTACATGTCGACTTCTTTTATACCTCTCGATACAGGTGTATGTTTAGATGAGTCATGTCCAATTAATTCATCAAAAATACACCATGGACTTAAGTCATCTTTATCAGTTTCTTTTTCTTGGACTGATTGATTTTCAAGATTTACTAAACTTTTCGTTTCATCCGTTTTCCATAGTTAAAGAACCAGCTTTTAAAAAGTTTGCAGGGTGGATTCCTGGATATAAACCGCCAACAAGAAAAACTTTGTCAGGTTCATTACTTCAGGAATGTTATGTCAAAAGTGAGCAAATTATTAGATCGCAAGTTGTTAAAGAAGTAGAAAATATCTATGTATTACTACTGACCTCTGGACATCTGGAGTAACTGAGAGTTACTTCGCATTAACAGGACAATATTTAACCGAAAATTTAGTATTCAAAACTTTTTTATTAGGCTGCTGCCATTTTTCTGGAAACCATAATCCAGAAAACAGCGATTACTGAAATTATTAATCAGTCGGGTCTAAAACGAAAAGTAAATTTTGCAGTAACTGATAATTCCTAAAATATGGTCAAAGCTATTAAATATGTTTTGTTTTATGATGATTGTGATTTATGATGATGATTAAATTTATTGGTGGAGGACGCACTTAAATGCTGTCGTGTACAAATAGATAAAATAAAAAGTCCTTTTTTCGACAATTCTGCAAAAAAAACACATTTCAAAAAAGTACCTTATCTTCAGAAAGGCTTTTAAAGTATTAATTACAACAGAACACAGTTCCCAAACGGCCAAACTTCACCTATTACATGTTAAAAAAATGACCGAGTTAGAAGAGGCAACCCGTTCCACATTGGTATTAAATAATATAGACTTAGACTTAAACCTAATCTAAATAAAGAACACTGGATTATTTGTTCTCAACTTTCCCAAATTTTACGGCCGTTTAAAGAAATAACATTTTAACAGAAATTTTGCTCCTACGCTCTTAATGATAAACTAGCACGACCCACCTCTACTTCTCGTTACTCGATCTTTTGACCAGATGACTATCTAGACTAGACGTTGCCAAATAAATTAGTGTATGAATATTTTTTAATTTGGCGTTATTGTATGCATGTTTAATTGTTTATTATTCCATATTGGGAAATTATTTTGATGTTTAGATTTTTAGTTCGGAAATCGTACTTAAAATACGAAACATTAATAAATTTTATTTATATAAAACGATTTCCGAAATGGAAATCAAAATGTTATATTACAATTATTGTAAAGAAAACTTGTGGCATATTCCCAATAAAAAAAACAGTAACCTGCCATTTAAATCAATTTCGGCCAAATTTGATTATCTTGAGCATTTTATCTTCTTGATAGAACATTGTTCAAATGCAAAAAAAGACAACAGGTCAAATAAAACCAATAAGTTTGGCAACGTTGAATTTCCCCTTTTTTAATATTTCCATTCGGCGATATAAAGGGCGTACCTAATATACCTCTCTCTTTTTAAACAGCTGTTTCTCACTCCATCTCACGTAAGGTCCATACCGACCATAAAATTTTTCCTACACTGTATATATATGCTGTCACTATTTTTCCGGGTTTGACTCCGCGTTGTAAAGTGCTGGTTTTCTCGAAAACCATTGTTTTGGCGACGTTTCGGCAAGGTCTCACTTGCCATTCTCAAGCCTGGTGGAACTACTTCTTGTCGTTACTCGATTAGTACTAATCGAGTAACGACAAGAAGTAGTTCCACCAGGCTTGAGAATGGCAAGTGAGACCTTGCCGAAACGTCGCCAAAACAATGGTTTTCGAGAAAACCAGCACTTTACAACGCGGAGTCAAACCCGGAAAAATAGTGACAGCACATATAGCTCCCGCGGAAACCTCAAAACAAACATATATATATATATATATATATATATATATATATATATATATATATATATATATATATATATATATATATATATATATATGATTTAATAGAAGAAAGATCTTGGATCGACCACTACTCACAACTTTTGACTGAAATAAGACCATATGAACTGTAATTCAGTGAAGACGATGAAATAACAGTACAGGAAGTCGAAAATGCAATACGAACTCTAAAAAATCGGAAGTCATGCGGACCACAAGTAATGGACACATATTAACAACATCTACAAAAAAGGAGATAGAAAGAACTGTTCAAACTACAGAGGGCTAAGTGTCATAAATTCACTCTCAAGACTGTAGTGAAGCACACTCTTCAAAATATATCTAAATGAGGCACTCTCACTGTGGAGAAGAAAGTGCTGCAATATGGGCTTCCCAATCGGAGATGATAGATTGTACACGATATACTTCGCTGACGACCAAGCCATTCTAACTGAAGACGAGAGTGATGTAGGCTACGTGCTTAGAAAACTGGAAGATGAGTACAACAAATGGGGCGTCACAATTAATATACAAAAACCTGAGTACTTAGTTGTAGGAGAAAACCAGAAAGCCTACAAATCGAAATGGGAACTATAAAACCAACAGACAATTTTAAATACTTGGGAGTCCAAATAACATCAAAAGCAGGAAGTACCGAAGAAATACATTCCAGGATTGGATAAGCAAGATCAGCCACCAAACAGCTACACGGACTATTATGGAAAAAAAATAACAAAAGAAAATAAAAGAAGAATTTAAACAATAATAGAAAGTATCGGGCTGTATGACGCCGAACTCTGGGAAATAAACCAAAGAAACCAATCCAAAATTAAGGACATGGAGATGAACTACTGGAGACGATGTTGCCAGCTCATTAGTTTTGATAGGGTGAGAAACGAAGATATTCGTAGATAAATGGAAATCGATCTAAACATAATAGACACAATCGAAGCCAAAAGACTTAACTGATATGGACACCTTAAGAGAATGTCTGAAAATAGATGGCCATAAAAAGTAGAAGAATAGACTTCGCCAACTAGAAGAAAACGAGGTCTAGACCAAGACGATCCTGGAGAGACGATGTCGACGATGCAATGACCGCCAGAGATCTAACAAACGCTGGAAATTAGGATGCGAGAAGCGGCGCCAGCTGTAGAAGACTCGCTTGATATAATATATATTTGGTTTCAGTTGTTTTCCGCGTTTGTAACAACAAACAAATGGCAGTATTTGAGATCCATCAACGTAAATATGTAAATGATCAAAAACGCCAGTTGCCTTAAACCAGTTGTTTTACCGAGCTGATTCAAAACAAATTTTACTGTTAGTCTGGTGGTTAATATTTTGGCGAATAACCTGCAGAAAAATTAAGTCTCCTTTTAAACGATAGTGTGATAATCTCAGGAACTAGTGTTTTCGTGAATCCCACGCCTTGAAATATAAAAATGATTTGTAAAGGCATGATAACATGGATTTCTACGGTAGCATAACATGAGTTTAACATACCCTTGATTTTTTCCCTATCTACGTTTTAATAATTGTTTGATATTTTGACTGATATCTGGAATTGTTCACAAAACTGTGACTTGTCGAGATTAAAACAAGCACGTGAAGATAACATTAATCTTGGCCTCTGTTATCTCACTTTTGCCAATGTCATGAACACTATTCAAGTGAGAAAAATCTTGAATTAGCGTCACGTGAAAAAGAACAATTCTATAGGAATACGTTAATATAAATATTGTAATATAATAAAAAGTCATATCTGCTTTACTGGAATAACAAACAATTTAATAATGATAAATTATGTAAGCATGTAAAGGTCACAGAAGCAATTCACAACATTCGTGATATAATCGATATAATTTTGCATTTGTGTAGGATACCAGATGCAAATTGAATGAACATGTACAATTTTTATCCAATTTTGGATATATGTTCTCATTTTGGATCTCAGTTCAGATTTTTGACTTAGGTACAATAGAAGCGATCGTTCCCAGGATTTGATCTTTCGACGGACGAACATTTTTATTATAATCTTTTACATATATAATCTAAAAGTACATATGTAACTACCTCGGTTAGGAGTTTTCACAGCTTCATTGAAATTTATCCCTTAAATCTGAGTCAGTTAGACTACCTTCCAAGTGGATTTTAAAAAATAAATAAATTTGCCGTTGCTGTGGTCTTACTAGTTTGCTAAAAAGTATTATTGGCTCCTGTTGAAGTGCCAAACAACTAATTGTTACCACATGTTTCTCATTTGGCAACAAAATTGTTTAAATACTTTATTGTGTTCACTACAAAGTATCGGGATGCTCTATTACATAAATACGTTAAATAGTAATTATTCGTACCAGCCAAAAACTTGATAGGAAACCGAACTTAAGGAAATTGCTAAAAACTTAGACAAGTTATATATCTGACATTATACCCCAAAATCATATTATATTGATTAAATTGTATTGGATACAACTTTGTTTTTACCAAGAAACAGGTTTTGTCTCAATATCCCAATATAATTTTAATATCAACTAGTAAAAGAAATATTACCCAACGGCATGAAGAATTACAGGAAATACTCTGAGAGATCGAAAGACGAGTGAAGCTACCAGGAGAAATTATATTAAACATACAGGATATAAACGAGTCAATATAGCAATAGTAAACCATCAAACAGAAGTATCGGATAACTTCTCAAAATTTGGAGTTTTTATACAAGTATTAGTCCGTCAATGAACAAGCCGAATTGCGGGGAAGAAGAAGAAATGTTTGATCTAGACGATCCATGCTGGACCATATTAATAAATCAATCATATATCTAATTGAGAAATTCCTTCGAGTATTCCCAAAAGTTTGTATAAAAACATATACATTCTTTTTAGAAAATATATCTTCCGTGCATATTATTGTACAGTGTAAATTGTCTTGATCATCTCTCCCTCTTCCTCTCTGTCTCTCACCCTCTATCTCTCTCTTTCCCCCTCTCTCTCTCTCTCTCTCTCTCTGTCTTCTCACCCTCTCCCTTTTATAACTATAAACTCTCTAAAATAATAAAACCGCGAAATTTCCATGTTTTTCGTACTTGAAAAATAGTGAAAATGAGTTATGGTGAATAGGTCGATTGATATTGTGATTTTAAGAAACTCTTCAACTTTATACTTCCTGGAAGTACATTTCTGTATGAAAATCAAATGAGTTAAACTGTCTCTCCTCACACGGACAATTCCGAGGTAAAGATTTAAACGTCACATATAAATATTTTTAATTAAAATTGTGGTTTATTTCCATTAAATATATATAATAAATAAAAATGTCATACGATACTATATGTACTACGGTTAGAGCCACAACGTAGGTCTTGTAAAAATGTATAAAATTAATTGGTTTCTGAAGAGTTCTGTAGATTTTTATAATGTATCACTAAAATAATTGTTTAATAAATTTTACAATAAATATTTATTATTTAAAAAAAAATATTTTTTGGTCGGTCAGATAGCCAAGCGGGCTAGGCGGCCGGTTCTCATTCGCTTCGCTGCGAATGGTTCAGTGGATGTGAATTAGAGCCCCAGCTCGGCGTACAGAAAAATAAAAAGACTAACGCACCGGTTTAAAATTCTAGCCGGCCAGCGGCTCGGTGATACTACTCCATAGATCCCTACCGGAAGGGCGTGCCGCCTAAATACCGGTGTATATATATTTTTTTATTTTAAGTTATTGGAACTTATTAATTCTTTTTTTTAGGTACTTGTCTGGCTCCAAAAACTGCGTCAACAAGTCGGCGACAGGGCGACAGAAGAACAACTCAAAGATTTCATCTGGAAAACTCTTAAATCCGGACAAGTTGTTCCTGGATATGGTCACGCCGTGTTGAGGAAGACTGATCCTCGTTATACTTGTCAAAGAGAATTCGCGCTCAAACATTTACCTGACGATCCATTGTTCCAAGTAAGTATCAAGAAAATGGGTTTTCAGAAATCTTTATTATTAAAGTCTAACGTCTTATGTGACTTAGAATCATGAATACTACAAAAAATTATGTTGTTGATTGGCATTTATAGATGAAAAGGTTTAACTAAACTTTGGAAGGTTTTAACTTATATAAACCTATGGAACAGGCGTTGCAGGTCATAAAGTATATGAATTGCTTTGTTGGTATGAGTTTAGAATCTCAGCTTTGCCTTTCAAAAATCCCAATTTAAATATCTCTTTGTCTTAGTAAATAAGTTTTCGTTTAACATGCCATCCTGATCGCGCGAAATAACCTTATGTTTTGGTAATTTATAAAATGTCCTACACTCCCGTACTACTAAGACTATTTTACAATAATTTACAGTTGTTAAAACATAAATGTCAACGTAAGTGCGAAGCTGGTGTTTTAAGTTTTTCCAATCTACCCATAGATGTCCACAATACTGATTTTGACGTCAGTAAGCCAATGAAAACTTAAAAGTTGAGCAAGTAGGTTGTTGATAGTTATCGTTAAAAAGAATCAAGTTTGTGCAAAAATCGGAATCACCAATGCAATTTACCAAACTTTTGTTAAATTGCAGAACACTGCATCTGACAGTGCTGAATGTTATGATGGATAACGAAAATTGGGTAGAGATATCTCTCTACATATGGCATATCTCCATACACAAATGGTTTTTCAAAAATAACGTAATTTTCATCACCTTCCTTGTGAACACTTTTTGTTGACACCCATTTTGATGCATCGCCATCTTTCTTTGCCATCTTTGGAGACATAGGCCTTTGAATATTTATATTCATTAATTATTAATAAAAGTTCTACCCTTTGACTAAACATAGTCGTTAAATTCGCCATTTAAAAGTTAAACACTAACGGACAAAACTATACCGTCGAATCCATCAATTATACCGTAATAGTTACAACTGAAGTGAATTACTGAAAATATTTATATTCTTACTTTCAACTATACATATTTGGAATTTCTGTCATTAAGACTTAATTCCCAACTTTCTCGGCGATGGCGCAGCAGGTACTTGGGATTAATAGGCCCAGGTAGTTTATGGGGCAGTTAGATAATGCCGTGTGAAAAGCTACTAAAAGAAGACTAGTACCAAAAATGTTAGTTAAAAATACTATAAGCAGTTTGGATTCAAAATTCTATTCAAAATAAATATGTAAATGTGTACAATGTACATGCTTGATCAACTCAATAGGGTCCCTGTAGACAAGAGTTTCTGTATGTTTATAGAAAAAAAAAAGAAAAATTTGTGGCTAGGAGGTAAGAACAAAAACGGGATGTTATGTTGACATCAGCTCATTTATAGACAACTAGAAAGAGTTGTGGTAATATTTTTATCTGCCCATACTTTTGAATTGGTATGATTTTCGTTTAGCCAGGTTTCATCTAAATAGAAAATTCATGTTCCTTCCAATCTAAATCTTTTTATCGTTCTTAAATATTGCCTTCGCCAACAAATAATCTCTTCTGTATGGTTCAATATAGGTTTTTTTCTTTTATTTTCATAGCAAAAACCGATTTCTTTAAGTAATTTCCCTAACTTATCCCGGTCAAATTGAGGAAAATTATTAGCTCGTATTTCCTTTAATACTGTGTAAAGTGTAATCTCCTTGTTTAAATAGAACGAATGAACTTTTCTCCGAAGGACGTTTCTACGAAAGTCATCAATTTCCACTGTTTTTTTTTTTCATGTCTCTTTGGCTCAGTAATGTATCCTTGCTTTCTTTCCTTTAAAAATGGTTCTTTCTCTAACACCTGTCATATCGCAGCACATAGTCAATACATTACTAACCGTTGTTAAAGGTTGATGATGAACAAGAGAGTCCTGAAGATTTGATACAATAGTTTTTTCTCTCAGAGAATACGCGCTGTTTTTAAGTTTAGCAGCAAAAAATTGAAACCATGATGCAATTTTAACGCAAGGACTGAACTGATAACACAATAACTTTCCCTTACTCGGTCGGCAGGTAGCAGATACCCCAAACATGATTTGTTAAAGTCATTAATAAAGGATTATCTCCTAATGAGACAAAGTATTATATGAATGTAATAGTACAGATATGCCTTATAAATCCAAAAATAATACTACAAACTATTAAAAGAGAGAAATTGCTGTGTAAAAAAATTAAAGAGCGGAAAGAAAATATATGTAATTATCTGCTTAAGATACAACTTTGACAAAATTCGTGCTTTCTATATTATTATTATTATTATTATTATTTTCAGATTTAGCCATACGGCTCACACTCCCTCTAAGGGGAAAATTCACTCATCCCAGATACCTACAGTATCAAAAGGATTGAGCTCTGGTGGGACTCTTTCCATGTTATCGAGTCCTAAGTGACTTGGTACGTCGGTGTATCTCCTAAAAATTTTCGCACGCATCTGGACGTCGAAAGTAGCACAGCTTTCTGCATGACCTTATATAAATGTTCATTTAGACCCAGCTTTTTTATGTTTTCTAGGAGGTTCTTCGGAATGACTCCAGTGGTAGAAAGAATAATACGTATCGTCTGGGTACTTTCCATTCTCCATTGTCTTCTTATTTATATTTCCAGATCTCTGATCTTTTCGTTGTACTTAACACGCAGATTATTGTTGTTAGGTATCGCCACATCGATTAGAGTTGTTTGTCTTGTTAGTTTATTTACTAGCACGAGATCTGGTCTTTTATGATCAGTTTGTTCTGTAAGCACAGTGCGATCCCAATACAGCTTGTAGTTGTCATTCTCCAGCATACTCTCAGAAACAAATTGATAATATGGGAGATGGTTGGTTTATAGAAATCCCAGTTTAAAAGCTATCTCTTGATGGAGGATCTTCTCTAGTGAGTCATGCCGTTCCTTATATTCAGTTGCAGCAAATGCCTGGCAGCCTCCGGTAAGATGGATCGTTTCTTGGGCTTGACATCCATATCGGCATTTGTCGTTTTGGACCTGAGGGTCTTTGACAATATATTTCAGGTAATTTTTGGTTGGTATAACCTGATCCTGAATAGCGAGTAATGAACCTTCTGTTTCAGGGAACATATTTCCTGATGTCAGCCAATAGTTCGACGCTATGTTGTCGACATAGTCTTGACTGACTTCATTCGGATGTCGCCCGTGCAAAGGTTTACCCATCCAGATGCGCATTTTTTCGTTCTTAGTAAGATGGTTTATGCGCATTTCTTGTTCCCTCAGTTTGATCGGTGTTGTGTCATCTACTGCGCAAATTGCGCGATGAAGAGTAGATGTCTCCGCCTGCGCCTGAAAATAAGTTCTTAAATGAGTAATCTGTTTATCTAATTGCTCGCTTATATCAATAAGTCCTCGTCCTCCCAAATACCGCGGTAATGTCGTTCTTTCTACTGCACTTCGAGGATGGTGTTTTTATTATTATTATTATTATTATTATTAAGTGTTTTATTCCCTTTTTAAGTATATATAACTAAACAGATTAATGCATAACTCTTGATTAAAAAAACCTTGTTGGTTTCAACTACGTCCGTACGGCAATGGTTTATGGCCTTGAAGGTAACCCTTAACCTGTATTTGAAAATTTGCATTTATAATGAGTTGCCAGTTACAAACAAATAGACTTTAATATGAAAAAATAATGGCTAATATTGCAAGTAGGCTGTAAAACATTTATCTCTTCTAATTGTAATTTATGTTCTCTTTTAGTTGGTCTCCAACGTATACAAAGTTGTTCCTCCAATCCTCCTCGAGCTTGGAAAAGTCAAGAACCCATGGCCAAATGTAGATGCTCACTCCGGTGTTCTCTTACAGGTAAGATTTAATCTAATTGAATCTAATTAATTTACTATGTAAAATCATTTTTATAAACTTTTATTTCTTTCTTTCAGTATTATGGACTTAAAGAAATGAACTATTACACCGTTCTCTTCGGAGTATCGAGGGCTCTTGGTGTAATGGCGTCGCTCATCTGGGACCGCGCTCTCGGCTTGCCCATCGAAAGACCAAAATCCATGTCAACGGATGGTTTGATGAAGCTCCTTAAGGCTAAGTAAGAGACTGGAAGAGTCAACTCATCGTTAACATTTACAGCGGCATTGTAGTTTGAACTGTTACTTGAGAGGTGTATGAGTTTTAAAAAGTGATCATAAGACCAAAATTATCACAAATCGCAGATAAATTTAAAGGAAACAATTCTATGAATATAAGGGCATTCTTGTTTTATTATTTGCATTTTGTGACAATTGTTTTATACATATTACTACAATATGTATTTTTTTATTTTTAAGCATGTTGGTGTATATTTTTGTTTACTACTTGAAGAGTTTATTTATTTTTATACGAATTTATTGATAATTTAGGCAACCCGTGTCTAAATTTTAACTTTAATTATAAGTATTCTTTATTTTAAAGAATCCAACATTGTTCTGTTCATGTTCTGTACGATGAACTGTTCAAGTAGCTCTTAGATTCTTCTAGACTCTCAAGTATCAGTTTCTCCATTTTTGTTGAACATTAGTATTTTATTTATTTATAATTGTACAAAGGAATTAGGTGTACATTTTATTCTGAGGTAATTTATTTCTCTCTACTACTTATTCTCGGTACACATTTTAAAGTAAATATTATAAAAGAGACTTTCTTTGTTAAATTATTTAAACTTTGTAAAAATTGTCCAGATGTATTTGAACATTATTTTGTTTTTTATTTTTTGCAGAAGTACAATCACTTGTTCTGTATTTTTGTTTTTTTTTTTTGTCCTATTTTTTTTATATTCCAAGCATTAGGAACATAAAGAATAGACAATAAGGTGTAGAAGAATGAGAAAAAATAAAGAGTGTAGTAAGATTATAGCTGTTCTAGCATGCAACGTATTCTATCTTTCGGTTCTTTACAGTTATATTTGGATATCGTACTAACGTTTTTCAATCCAAGAAGGTCTCAATAAGAAATGATACATTTGGAAATACAACCAGTTTTATTTCCTGCACTGTATACAAATTTTTTACTTGACAATTATTCAATTAATGAACGGAATGAATCTAGAGTTTTAACATGATCAGGAGGTGACCCATGAACCTTGCCACATTCTTATCATGAAGCTTAACTCAACATGCTGTAGACTATAGCCTATTTCACCTTGACTTTGGAGTACAGGTTCTTATAATTCACAACGATGCCAAATTTTATCAGAAACTGTGCGTTTTTTATTATAGTGAGTATAAATAGCTTTAATATTGAATAAAGAGTGTTATCTAATACAGAACAATATAAAAGCAAGTTAAAACCCGCAAAAGTATTAAATCTAGATAAACTTAGCTTGAATGAAGTCAATGAAGTCATAACAAAAGATCTATTAAATGCAAGCTCAGAAGTGGCAACCGCTAACAGAAAACGAAAATTCAAAATTAGTTTAGAATCACAAAACATGCTGAAACAAAGAAAAGATCTTAAGACAAAACAAAAGAGACACCGCAGAATTTATGGAACTTAATCGAGTAATAAGAAAAAAGATAAAAGAGGACATTAAAAAACATTAGGAAGACTGTATAGAACAAGTCATGGAGAAAAACCGAAGTCTCAAGTGCACCAAATCGAAACTAGGAAAGAAAAACATAACCATTAAAAATGAACAAGGACAACTAGAAAAAAGTAAATCTGATATAGCAAACTCAATTAAAAAGTTATATAAAAATATTTATCGTTCCAGAAACGATCCCCCTAACTCCTCAAAGCAGAACTTGAAAAGGCAGATAACAAATGTCAACTCGGGAGTGATGCCCGAAATAATCCACGAAGAATTAGAAAGAGCAGTAAAAGGAATAAACCTCCTGGAAGCGATGGCATCTTAGCAGAAGATATACACATATCTAAAAATACTATTTAATAAATTTCTATTCAAAGGCAACATACCCGAACAACGGAATACTGCTAAAACAATACTAATACACAAAAAGGGAGACACCACGGACCTGAAAAATTATCGAACAATTTCACTTCTATTACAAACCGGTTTTAACAATTAAATTTAACGGATATCAACCAGTAGAACAAGCCGGATTTAGTAAAGAGTACAGCACCTGTGACCATCTATATACTTTGAAAATCCTAATAGAAAAGACTAGCGAAATACAATATCCCATTATGTCTGGCTTTTATAGATTATGAAAAAGCTTTTGATAGCGTAGAACTGTGGGCATTAGAAGAAGCATTAGTCAACAACCGGATCGACTGCAGGTACAGAATATTAATACATAATATTTACGAACAAGTCGAAATGATAGTGACGTTGGGTAATGGAATCGAAACAAGACCAGTAAACATCAACCGAGGCGTAAGACAAGAAGACACAATGTCTCCAAAATTATTTACAGCTGCCCTAGAAGATATCTTTTAAGTCAATAGACTGGGAAAATAAGGGAATCCCTATTAAAGGAAGATTCTTGAACCATTTTAGATACGCATATGATGTAGTACTAATAGCGGACACGTGGATTGCACTGCATACGATGATTGAGGAGCTATACACAGAATCCCTAAAAAAAGAACTGAAAATGAATTTCGGCAAAAGTAAACTAATGTCAAATAAAGATGACAAACCTATGATAAACGTCCAAGGAACAGAGATAGAACATGTAGATGAATATACATATATGTGTCAAAATGTCAAGGTAAACAAAGAAAATCAGACTACCGAAATAAACAGACGTGTAAAAATGGTATGGGCAGCATTCGGAAAGCTCTCATACGTACTTAAAAATAAAAGCATACACCAAAGACTGCGAACCAAAGTATTTAATTCCTGCATCCTACCTGTGCTTACATATGGAGCTCAAACATTGACATTCATTAAAATAAACATGGAGAATAGCAGAAAACCTCCGAGAGCTATGGAACGACAGACGCTGGGTATCTCACTCAAAGGCATTCTGGGTATTAATGAAGACATTCGTAATAGAATAAAAGGAAAAGATGCTGTCGAACAGGCAGCTAAACTGAAATGGAAATGGGCTGGACATAACGAACGTCTTAAGGATGGCCGATGGAATAAAGAAATCGGAAATTGGCGGCCATATGAAGCCAAAACACCACGAGGAAGACTGCATATGCGCCGGAGCGACGATATTAAAAGAACTGCAGTACCAATATGGAAACGTCTTACAAACAACAGAGATGAGTGGCGAGAATTAGGAGAGGCATATGTTCGGCAATCCGAATAGAGAGAACTTAAAAAAATTCTACATTTTGTCGTTGTCAGAGGTTCTAAAGCACATTCTTTTCGAAAGATACTTGTATGAGAGTGATATGAAAATTGTTATAAAAGGTGTTTTTTAGAGCTATAGAACTTTGAAATAGAAAAAAGAAGATGATTTTTATAAATTGACTTTATTCGAAAGATAATCTTTTGGCATTATAATTTAAATATGATTTCTGGCATATGACCGTCATGGCTGGCTCTGACAGTCTAGTCTGGAGGTCCAATTTTCGATTACTTTTTCTAATATTTATCGCCGTATATCGGCACTAACGCGGCGAATGTTGTCCTCCAAGTGGTCAATAGTTTCATCCTAATAGGCGTGTACTAGCACATTCACATATCCTCATAAAATAGTAACAGTGTTAAATGCCACGATCCTGGAGACTGATTCACTCTCCGAAACGCAAAACGAAGCGGTTACCAAACGTTTCCCTCAATAAATCAATTATGTCACGAACTGTGTCACATGTTGAGCGGTCTGAATAAAAAAACAGCTCCTGTACATCCTGTTTGTTGAATTGAGGAATGAAAGAGGCCGTAATCGTTCACCATTGACTGTAACTTTCTGACTATCATTGCTTTGAAGAAGTACGATCCAATGATTTCACCAGACCATATAGCACACCAAACAGTCAGTTTTTCTGGTTGTAATGGTTTCTTAACATACATTTGATGATTATCTTAACTCCAAATAGAGCAGTTTTGTTTGTTGACGTAGCCATTCAACCAAAAGTGAGCTTCATCGCCAAACAAAATTCGCTTAATAAAATCGGAATCAACGGCAATCTCGTTTTGGACCCACTCACCGAATCTACGCCTTACTATTTATATACATTTATATAATAATATATTTAAGAACATAAAAATGTTTATCGACGCCAAAGTAAGGAATGTACCTATCTAGTCCAACGGTCGAAAATGCCAATTTTGCACATTCGTTGGTATTGTACTGACAATATTCGATATGAATTTCAACAATTCAAGTGGCTTAATGCACTAACAAAAAATAATTTCAATTGCAGAAATTAAACTAAATTTATAAATGTATTGAAAAAATTGTCGTAATTTATACTGTCTAATGTTCGATCAGAAATTCTTTTGAATAAAATTGACATCGCTGCTAAAAACTCACAAACATTGCACTGGTCTATGTGCCGTATACTGAAAAGTCAAGGTGAGACGGACCATAGTAAGGTTCAGGTTTGGATTTCCTGAAAAAGTTCGGGACAACAGTAGTTCCAGCTCAATGGCGCTGCAAGAATCAATCTCCAGAAGTTTGTTATCAGTCAGTACAGAATACCTTTTAGCACAATGTAAACATGTACTCCTGCGACTACATTTTTTATCGACTTTCGGTAAAAATTTATATTCTGTCTAGGTTAGTGAAAGAGATAGTGGGATCGTCGGTCTGATAAATAATTGATGAGATGATAAACCTTACAAGATCTAATGAGTTTCAGGAGCTTTGTAGCTACAATAGTGCTCTCAAGTTGGCCTTATGATCTTCATTACGTTCCTATTACCATGTTTTTGTTCATATGGCACTATTTACTAAAGAGGTTTTGTATGTCAATAAGTGAATAAGATCTTATTAGATTCATCATTATGTTTCTAACCTATTAGTGAAAATTGACTGGTGACATGATCGCATAAACATTTTCGCACGTTTTAGTGTCGCTTTAACTGTAATCGATCAATATTTTCCATCAGTAAATTTTCATTCAAATGGTATGTATGCTTTTCTTTACTATTTTCGTTTAAAAGTATTTCACTCAGGTGTAGATGGCATAGATATGTTACTATTTTTAACAATTTCTTACTCGAACGGAAATCGTTCTTAAAATACAAAGTAAACAAATTTTGTTTTTGTTGCTGGATAAAAAAAGTCTCAATTCTAATAATTTTATTTATTGTCAATATTTTGGGTTGCGTTCCTGGGACGACATTGTTCGAACTATCAGAATTTCTTTCGATTACATGAAATCAGAAAAATCATAGCATGTAATTTGTCTTTAAAAAGACAACCACATGCAACGATGACAGTAAAAATCTCCCGTTGATGATTCCAAAGTAAATCATGAAAAAACCTCATGATACTATCCCATACTATCAAAGAAATATACTGGATAATCGGAGAACATTATAAAGGTAATCATCAAATCATTATAAGATAGGAATTTTGAAGAAGGGACATAATTAAACGCCGTCTACACTCCCGATCGAAGTTCTTCGGACGTTAAGTGTCGAAGTTAAGTTAATCGAGGCGAGGTTAATCTCTACATACTCGTGAAGTCGAGTAATGTAGTGTGAATCTTCGTCTTCGAACTTCGGTCCCTTTGACGCAGACGCGAAAAACCGACGCAGATCGGAAGTAGAACCAGACGAAGCGAACTCACATAAAGTACCTGTATATGCTCTCGTACTCATTGCACTTCGTTCAACTTCACGAGTAGTATAGTGACCGCTTTAAACAAAACAAC